TCCCATGCCAATGTGCTCTCTGAGTTGCCTGGTCTGAACATTTTCTCCCCTGCACTCTAGTATAGGACACGGCACCAAGAATGAGACTAAAATTTTGTGTCTACTTATTTGGAACTTGTGAGTATTTGATTAGGGGTGGGCAAATTTAATTCTGACCTATTTGAAAGAAAGGGTTTGCCAATGACTACCGTAATCATGTAGAAGAAATCTAGCCAAATTCACACACCTGCCTATCAGTGCCTCCAAAGATCCAATATGTGTTGGAAGTTTGTGATTCCTAGAACATGGTGCCAAGGACTGTGAGATTAGTTGCATGTATAGGCACACAATGTAAAAGGGAGGGAGGGAGGGAAGGAGGGGGAAAAGGAGAAAGAAGGGAGGGGGAAGGGAGGAAGGAGAGAAGGAAGGGACGAGATAGAAAAGACAAAATTAAAAAACAAATATATGAATATCATAGAAGGGCCAAAAGAGAGTAACAGATAAAATGCATAGTAGAAAACTCTCACACCTAAATGGAACATTGGGACAAATTCCAGGAAGACTTCCTGAGGTGATGGCATCTGGGATAGGCTTTGAAGAAGAAGAATTTATATATGTGGAGATATAAGTGGGAAGAGCCTTCTGGTAAGAGTTAGCAGTAACAGTTTTATTAAAACAGCTCAAATTCACTCTTTCTCCTATTAATTATAAATTAATGGAATTATAAAACATATTTTAAATATATAAAGCAGATTTCAACTGCTGTATTTGGGCTATGCACTTATTAGCTCTTGTTCAGAAATAGTGGACTTTAACATTTCTTGTCCAAGGTGAATAAAAAATGTTCCAATTATTCAGTATATATAATGCCTCAAAGTCTTCATAAAAAGAAAGCATTCCAAAGTAAATCCAGAATGTGCTTCCCGTTCTGCAGAAGGAATTGTCTGCTTCCTTCCTGGACATCTCTGCATTTTAATTATATCATGAATATTATGAAAAGGAAGCACTATGCAGATATGAAACAATATTTTTAAAGGATTTCTCTGACTGTGATATCTATTTTGGCTTTAGAGCCTTCCCCAGGATCAGGCAGCCTATTTCTTTTTGGACAGATGAGAACGTTAGAGGATTTGAAAGCAACCCTGTACATGAATCTAGGCGGCAAGATCTTAGTTTTCTGACCCGTAGGCTACCCCTTAGAGATACCGAATAGGCGTTTGAGTGATTGGGTTTAACGTCTTTTCAAGAAAACACTTTTAACCCAGCTTTCCTCTGGATTCTGAGAGGCCATAATAGTAAATCTTTTAGGAGGTAGCAGGAGAGAAAATGTTGTTCCTGTTGTTCTGACAGTAAGGAGCCAGATTTGCTCATTCAGCGAGGACCTTCCCCTGGGAGTGTCACACTGCTCACCGCAGCCTGCACAAGAGCTCTGTTTGGCCTGCAGAGTATGATATTTTCTAATTCAAACTTCATGCCTTTAACAGGGTATGTACTCACCAGTTCCTCTACATCTGGATTACATCTGGAGAGATTTACACAGTTACCTCCCCCTTTGCTGTTTCAGCCTATGAGCTTTGCTCGACAGGAGGATTTCTCAACCTCATCACTATTGATATTTTGGATGAGGTAATCGTTGTGTGGTTGTGTGGGGGAGATGGGGCTGTTTCAGAATGTTTAGTAGTGTCACTGTATTCTACCCAAAAGATGCCAGTAGCACACCTCCCATCCCCCAGTCAGGACAATCCAAAATGTTTCCTGGCATCATAAATATCCTTGGGGGTGCAAAATTACCCTAGATTGAGAATCACTGCTTTACAGCAATATGGCCTCAGAGACCTAGGCTGTGATAATGGACACAATAATTGTACATTAGACAGCATAATGTGGGTAAATAACATTTTCATTAGAAGAAAGGAGAACTAAGATCTGTGTGTAATCCATACCTTAGTTTGCTCACCTCATTCTCCCACAAGTCTGGTATATAAATCAAAACAATATGGTATATGAAACAACATTTGTAAACGTGTTTGGAAAACTTAAACATATAAGCTTGTTGCCGTTTGGTCCTGTGTAGCTCTTTAGGCATCCACTGATACTGGCACATTGAAAAATGACAGTTCTATTCTATGATAAATTATTTAAACTCAAAGGCATTCCATAAACCAAGTACACTGACAAGGAGTTGAACTTAGCAGTAAGGAATGTCACTTTGGGCACTAGAATGAATCTTCTTGGAGTCTCCTGTCTTCTTGGTCTTTCTTGCTGATTGAAAAGTTAGTATTCTTTCTTTCATTTAATCATGCATTTATTCAATATGTATTTGTTAAGCTTTAGTATATGCCAGGCATGGTGCTGGGCACTAGGAACGCTTAACAACTTGTTGTTGCATAGCAGCAAGTAGCTGTAGCAGACATGTTAGATATGACCCTGTCCTTATGCAGAGCATGGCCTAGTAGAGGAAACATACAAGAAGAAAATTATAATGCATTTAGTAAGTGTATGATGGAGACCATTCAGGACCTTCTACAAGGGTCACCAAACTCAGAGTTCAGGGTTAAGAAAGGTTTACTTGCGAAAATAAAACCAAAACTGAGATTTGAATGATGAATACGGGGTTGCAAGAAAAAGAGAGGATGAAAATATTTCTGACAAAGGGGACGGTATGTATGTAGTGCTGCAGGTGAGGGGATATGGCATTAGGGGATGCATGGAGGAGAGAGTACATGAGGAGGATGGTGAGTGAGGCTGGGGGTATCCTGAGTAATGAAACCCAATGAAGCTCTTGGGGAAGCAAGTGACCTATGTACACACTGGAGATACTACTCTGGACACGGTATGAAGAATAGATTGGAGGTGGTCGGGACAATAATGAGAGTGGGGGTAAGCCAAAGAGGCTGCCTCAATATGCAGAGAAGAGAAGATGCTGTCCAAACGAAGATAGTGGCAATGAAGTTGGAGCGAGGTCAAGGGGTTGGAGGCATTGACCTATTTAGAGAAAAGAGGAAAAATGACATATGACTTAATGATGGAGTACATGAGTGGGGGGCGTATAAGGAAGTTCGGAAGGCAGAGCCAAGCATGATTCCTGGGTGCTTGGGAGGGCTTTTGGAGGAAGCAACTGGAATTGACTACAGCTATTGTTACTATTGACAAAAATGAGTTTATGGGGCGCCTGCTGACTGCGGGTCCGTGAGCTAAATGCCAACAAGCATTATCTCTTTTAAATCTTGTAACATCCCTGTGAGATAGGATCTATTATTCTCAGGACCCCAAGGCTCAGCAGGACCTATTCAAGGATCCACATCTGGTAATAACAGGGCCCTGATTCGGGCTGGATTCAAACCTGACAGACTGACTCCAGAGTCAGGTGGTTAAGTCTGCTCTCTTAACCACCACAGAGAACCATTATTGAGTCCCTTGAATGTTTACCTTCTAGGTTTAAATCATAGGTTTTCCAGTGACTAATGGTAATTTTCGTGGAAACATTCCATTTTTTTAAGCTCTTCAAATCTCAATTTCCTCTGCCAAAATCTAGGTATCAGAATATCTCCTTTACAGGGCCTACGGAGTGAGTAGCTAAGTAATGCTAACAAAATAATGACAGAGCAAGCATTTACCGAATGCTGACTGTATTCCATGCTGTGATGTAAATACATGTATCAGCTAATTTAATCCACACAAGGGCCCTGGCTGTGCCTTCAATTATTATTCCTATGTTACAGATGAAGAAACTGAGGCACAGATTAAAATTAAATGCCATACTCATATAGCAGATTTGCTGGACTGCAAACCTGGGTGAGATTTTCTGGAGCCTGTGCTCTTCATTATGGTGTCATGTAGCCTCTGCTAAGAAGTGAGACCTTAGAAAGTGCTTGACATGTCAGGAACCTAGCACCTGGAATGCTGGATGTGCTCAGTGCTGACTATAATTTTTCTTCAATGTTAAGTTCATTGAGCTTTCAGTAAGTGCCAGGCACTGTATTAGACAAATAAGATAGATATGGCTCCTGTCTTAATGCCTTTCTTGAACTACTAGAAAGCCATTTCTAATTATGATTTTTTTTTTTGTATTATCAAAATTCCCTTTCCCATGAGAAGTTGGGAAATGTCAGCAGTTTCTGAGGAAGACTTAGAGAAGCCCAGAGGAGCCAGGCTTCATCAAGAGCCAAATATATGTATTGAACCCCTCTGCTGATGTGATTAGCCTGCGTGTTGGCCAAAAGACAATACCAAGGCCCTTGGAGGGCTACTATCTTTCCTCCTTTCATATCTGTCCATTTAATCACCATCTAGGTTAAAGAAAACAGCTGACTGATACAATGGAGATAGAAAATGCTAACATCTGCTTGATGGTCAGGAGGATTTTAATTTATTTATTTTTGAGACTGTCACCCAGGCTGGAGTGCAGTGGTGTGATTTCAGCTCACTGCAACCTCTGCCTTCCAGGTTCAAGTGATTCTCCTAGCTCAGCCTCCTGAGTAGTTGAGATTCCAGGCACCTGCCACCACACCCAGCTAATCATTGTATTTGTAGTAGAGATGGGGTTTTATCATGCTGGCCGGGCTGGTCTCAAACTCTCGACCTCAGGTGATGCACCCACCTCGGCCTCCCAAAGTGCTGGGATTACAGGCGTGAGCCACTGTGCCTGGCCGGTGGTTTTTATTTTTAATTGACAAAGAGTTGTCTACATTTATGGTGTACAACATGATGTTTTAAAATATGTATACATTTTAGAATGGCTAAGTTATGTTAATTAACATATGCATTACCTCACATACTTAATGTTTACTTATGAGAACACTAAACACCTACTCAGCAATTTTCAAGTATACAATACCTTGATTTTGACTATAGTTACCATGTTGAACAGAAGAACTCTTGAATTTATTCCTTCTGTCTATCTGAAATTTTGTATTCTTTGTATCCCCAACCTCCACTTACCCATCCCCTAGTAACTACCACTCTACCCTCTGGTTCTATGAGTTTGACATTTTTAGATTCCACAGATGTGAGATCATCTGATATTTGCCTTTCTGTTCATGGCTTACTTCACTTAACATAATGTCCTCTAGATTCATCTGTGTTGTCCCAAATGACAGACTTGCTTTCTTTTTCCAGGCTGAGTAATACTCCTTTGTTTCTTTACTGGAAGGGATATCAGATACTCTAATCCCATAATGCCTCAGGGGAACCAGAGTGGTGGAAACATTAAATGGTAATATGACAAGGAAACTCATAACTTCATTGTCTGTTTTCCTTTCTGTACCCTACCTTCTCTATCTATAAGTTGGTAGATTAGAAAAGATCTTCCAGTTTCCTCCAAATTCCAACACGCTATGAATCTAAGTGTTTAATCACACAGTTGCCTATTTGTTCATTAACATCATGTGGGCAATGATGTTATATCAATAATACTATCAATACACCTATCAATAATACTTTGATTAGGTGTAAGAAGTGCTAATTAATTGTTCATGTTTGTTGGTAATGTAGAGACAACTAGCTGTCTGTAATTTTCTTCCACTTGCTCTGACATCATGTCTGTAGAAGTGGAGCCTAGAACGCTCTACAGATGTTTATTGCTCTTCTCAAAGATGAAGTGTAATCTTTGTGTGCACCCAGGTGTAAATCATTTTTTTAGTAAACACATGGATCTGATGGCCATTTTAAGTTCATTTAGAGAGAGCTTACTAAACTTATCACATATTAAACATTAAAAAAATGATCTGGGTCATAGAATGATGAGTCATTTTTATTTTCTTATAATCTGTGTTTTCATCAGCACAAGCTCTGTACTTTGTGTGGATTATTTTATTTCATCCTCATTACAAGTCTATGAAAGAGAAACTACTATTATCCCATTTTATAGAGGAGTAAAGTGAAGTTAAATCAAAATAAAGTTACGTAATCTATTCAAAGGGACACAGAAAGTTGTCGGATTGGGATTCAAATCCAGGCCATCTGTTCACAGTTCATTCTTTTAACTATGATAAAGTCCTTCCAATATCCTCAAGTTTCCATTAAAAACACAAAGAGTATTACTTTATGTGAAAAAAATGCACTTTTTTAAACAGTAATATTTTGGTTGTTTTGAAAATAAAGTCTGTTAATTTTTCTGTTTTAGTTTCATGAATTTGGTATAAACTGCTATTAAATAGCAATATTTTAAAAAGACATCTTATCTTCAGCAAGCTGTAAAACATTTACTAGAAAAATATTCTCTCTCAGGTATGTCTGATGAGAAGCTGTGCTTTACATGAATCATTGACTAAAAAAAGAACAGGAACATAAATTCTGAAGCATGCATGAATGGTAAGCTGTAAAAAACGGCCGTCAGTTTTCCTTGGAAAATAGGCACTTAATATCAATATTTGGAAATCATTACTGCTTGAATATCATTGGTATAGACCTGCCAACATTAAAATTACCTGGTACATTTGATTAATGGTGTAGATTGAGAAGTGCACATGGAGAAATAACTGTGCCATAATTTTGGGAAAGGTTGCCTTAAATCGCAATCAGAAAAAAATCACCCATGAGACAATATATAATAATGACCCTTAAGAAACAGCTAATAAAATTATGAAAATGCCATGCAGGGTAAAAAAAATAAAATGAAAAAAAACAATAGCTCTTAAGTTCCCTAAACTATAAACTGAAAGGACATGGTCAGGTCTAAGGACCCCCCAAATTTAAGTGATCTCAACAATGTCTTGAAAATCACTTTTGGGCACTGACTAACACTGTAACATTCACAAAATCCGATTGGTCCTGGGCAAAGATACCACAGTGAGCTTCAGACCACAGACAACATTTTACTATGAGAGATGAGGTATGAAAACCTCTAGGTTGGAAGCAAACACAAAGCAAACAAAAATAGTTGAGTTTAGAAGTGAGGTTTAATTCTCACAATACAACTATAAGGAAGATTATGTTACTGAAAATTCTCCATTGAGGCGAAATGCCCTAGGATTCAGGTCCTAAAACATCGGAGTACTTCCATGCTTAGAATCCTGAAAGCTTTTCATTGTACCCAGCATAAGACACAAGTATTTACCATGGCTTTAAAGCTCACAACTGAACCTGCCTCTGCTTCCCTCCACAACCTCAACATAGACTCTTCCCCTATTGATGATCCAGTCATCCTGGGCTTCCTTCCAGCCATGCCTGGATTACTCCTATCTCAGGGCCTTTGCACTTGTTTCCTGTGTCTAACCACTGTTCCCATAAGTTTTTTTAAACATGGTTTCTACTCACTATTTACCTCTTAGCTTCAATGTCACCTCTTCAGAAAAGCCTTCATAGAAAAGCCATGTAATGTGCCATTCCTCATTCCTTCATTTAGCCACTCCCACGCAAGCACATTTTATATTCGTTATAGCATGTGTCACCATGGGAAAATATCTTGTGTCTTTGTAAGCTTGCATTTTCTATTGTTGATCTCTGCACTAGAATGTGAGTTCCATTAATACCACGGACTGTGGCTATTTTGAGGGCTGCTGTGTTTCCAGCACCTATTGCCTAATATATATTTACTGAATAAATGGATGAATAAAATTCAATATTTTTACCGCCAACTAAATTGGTATAAAGTTAGCTATACTCTCTTTTTTAAAACTCTGTATGATAGACTAAAAATAAATATACTAAGAAAAAGGCACAATGGTTACTTGAAACCTTGAGCAAAAAAACAGGAACCATCCCACGGTGTCCATGTGCTTAATTATTTATTCTTGGCTTTTAAATTCCATTAACTAATAACATAGGAAGTAAGTAGGATGATGCTGAGCTTGATTAATTAGCAACATTTACAAAAAGGCAAATAATTTTCTCACACACTCCAGGCCCCAGTTTCAAGACAAGTCAGTCTAGAGAAGCTTGGTGTCTGGATTTGCTTGAGCCACGTTTTTCAAAGAATAAGTCAATGACCCACCATTCTTTGCACAGTGGTAGCAATAGAATTAGTTAAGTCTTATCAGTCTCATTTTTCTTGTAGCTGATACTATTGTTAGACTACCTTGAATTGCACCCTCATTCCTTGCTGCAAAGTCTAGATTTTGTTGTAGTATCTTCCACTCAGGGATGATGATCCTATACCAAACTCAGGTACAAGCCTGTTTGTATAAAGCTAGTTAGCCTGCTCCCATTCTCCTTGCCAATGGATGGTTTAAAAGTGGGCATTTGACTTAGACTGTGGCAAAGGGGACATCAAAAGAAATTTTCTAGGGATATCTGAGGGAAAAGGTTCCTTGCTTTAAAAAATAATCAGAATGTCCTTTCACTTGACATTGTTGGTTTATCTCAGAGTAACATCCAGAATTGCTGCAGTTGTCTTGGGACAAAGCTGACATTCCAAGGACAGCAAAGCAGAGAGATAGAGAAGATCTGAGTTCTCTACATTGTGCTTCACCTAGGGAATTTATCAGCTCTGGGGGGTCCCTGACTTGTGACTTATTATGTGAAAAACTGGATTATTGCAATAACCTTTCAACTAATTCCTTCTTCTGACAGTGGTCCGTTAATTGAGCTGCTGCTAGAAAGAGCGTCTTTCAACTAGTGGCTCTCTATTTCATTCAGGCAGGAGACCAAGTATTTATAACGGTTTATAAGGTCCCACCTTGCATCTGTCTGCCGTCATCTGTCTCCATCGTTCACAACTTCTTCCTTTGCCTACTCAACTTCAGACACACTGGCCTCAAGTCCAGTCTCTAAACATACCAGTTAAGCTCTTGCCTCAGGGAATTTGTACTGGCTGTTTCCTCTACCTGGAACTCTCCTCCCCAGATAGTCACACAATGAATTTCTTTGTCTTCTGCCTTTCACTCCTCAAATGTCACTTGCATGAAGTCCTGACCGTCCTATTTAAAAGAGAACACCACATCCCTGCACTCCCTGTTGGTTTATTTTCTCGTATTTATAGCCTCATATTTTAATTCCACTTGTTTATTATACTTATTGTCTAGCCCGTCCACTACTGAATCTCCAGTGCCTAGAATGCTGACTACATAGTAGGTGCTCAATGGATATTCGCAGAACTGAGGAAGAGATCATTCTTTTCCTATTCCAGATATGTTGACAGAAGTTTTCTGTTGCAGCTGAAAGCATCTTGAAAGCATGATGGATTTCCCTTGAGCTGCCTTGGTGTCCTGTGCCCTGCATCTTCAAGACAGTCAACCATGTCTTAAACTCACAGTTGTGCATCCAGAGGAAGATGAGCAGTAGAATAATCTCTGGTGTAGGATTTAAATATTTGCTTTCTGCTCTCTGTAAGACCTTGGGCAATTTAAAGCTTATCCCTAGCTGCCTTAATCTCCTCATAAAGAAAAATAGGTCTACTATCTATAATATCTACACTATCTGTTTGTTGGCAAGGTGAGATTATAAGACCAATTCTAGTTACCTTCTATGGGCTCTAAGACATATATGACCCATACTTTTTAAAAGAAAAGACTTATGTATTTGTAATGGATTGTTTTGAATGAGCTTTTTTATTCTCTAAAAATATCCATTATTTTTGTATTAATGGTAATATTGATTTTTTTGGTTGGTTGACATTTATTAGTTACTGAAGGCTATATTCATTCAATAAATATTTATTAAGCCCCTGCTTGGTGTCAGGCTACTTTCCAGGAGTGCTCTATCACAGTAGTTGAGAACACCAACTCTGAGGTCAGACTGCTGTGCAAATGGCTAAGTTGTTAAACTTTCTGAGTCTCAATCTCCTCCACTATTAAATGGGCTTAAGCTGGTACCTGCCTCATATCTTAGTACTGTGGCAAAGGTGGAATGGGATAACACGTTGAAAGCAATCATCAAGGAGTCTGGTCTCGTGAAGCCTGATTAAACAGAATTATCATTATTATTACTCTACCCTGGCCAGGTATTGTGCAGCACTTTCAAAGATCTTATTAACATATCCTTTCATTTTTTCAAGTTGGCGATCACCCAGGGAATCTGAGCAAATAGCCCGAGAGAATAATTGAACCATGAATAAAATGTGGGTCTATGTACCCAGAAGTCTTAGCTAATTCCTGTTCCTACTTTAGGTCTCTGATTGACTTCCCATCTGGCCAATCTTACTCTAGCAAGCCTTCTGTGCTCTGTTCCCAGTGTCAGTTGGGTAACTTACTTTTTTCTAGCACTTTCCACAATCACATTGGATTGTCATTAAAAACCATGCTGGGTGATGTCTTCAGGAAAGTGTTCAGGGCTTATTGGAGGGGAGCAGCAGGCCTTTGTCCATGGCTGGCCTCATTACCCAGCCCAGTGCCTAGCACATAGTAGGCGCTCCATAAATAGTTGTTAATTAAACACATTTAAAGTGATTGGCCTTAGGGAAGGGATGAAATAAATAGCCATGGAGTTTTTTTTCTCTTTCTTGGCTAGGAAATATTTAATTACCTAACGCTTACAAAGAGAACAGGATGTTTGCCTTCGGTGTTATGCAAAGAACCTGCTTCCCTTCCTCCACAGAGCTCACTTCTCACCAGCCCACCTGCAGAGTACAGCAAGCCTTCTCACACCAAGACATTCTCCATCACAGCTGAGAAAAAATGCTTTCATCTTGCACAACATTCCAATGTTCATAATCATTCCAATTTTTCTTCTGGCAGATTGGCACCATACAAAGTGAAGTTGCATAGGAAATACCTTTGTAGCCTACCGGGTGCAGAGAAGAGATCTCCACTTCTTTTTGATACACAGAGGGAAAGTTTTCACTCCCTTCAGTCCCTGAGGTAGAGAACTTGGTTGCACAGTATCTCATATTTATTGGCATTCTGGTTTCCTTTAAATGCACTCAAAGCAGCTTCAGATTTTCTATCTTCTCTGCTCTTAGAATAGCCCTCTGATGTAAGAAAAGAAAGAACAGAATTTCTCAATGTGTCTCTTGGATCAAACTATTAGAATTATTTGGGAAGCTTGTGAAATATGCAGGTTCTTTGACTCCATCCCAGACCTAGTGAATCAGAATCTCTAGAGGTAGAATCTAGTAATATTCATTTTAACACTCTTCCCAGGGGATTCATATGCAGAATAAGGTTTGAAAATCATTTAGTAACCTGTCCAAAGTCACTAACTCAGTAACTGAACCAAGTTTAAAGTGAGGGATTATCTGATTTCAAATTGGTACCTAATTAAAAATCCCCTTGAGTTGCTGACATAGAAAGCTTCTGTCCAAAAAGATAGGATTTCTTCTCCCTGAAATGGGAATTCCTAACAGTGCCAGTACTTTGCCCTGTATTCAGGAGTGGGAAGAGCAAGGCAAGTAAGGGTCCATTTTACATCATTTTGGCTAAGATGTGTAGGGTGAAGTTACAGTTATTGTAATGAACATCTAAACATCTAAGAAAGGTTATTTGTCAATCACTGACTTCTTTCTATAAAATGAGGAGAAGGTCACAAGTCTTTATACTGCTTTGAGACAACCCAATTGGTATTTTCTTTTTTTCTGGTGACAGCCAAGAGTCATATTCATCGAAGGGAAGCTGAAAAATCATTCCTATAATCCTCAAATTTCTTAAACATCCATAAAAAGATGAAACATTTTGCAAATGTTATAGGTAGAGGATTCCTCTTTGCAAGGAAGTCACAGTTGTTGGCT